GGGAGGAGGGGAAATTGGGTTAGGTTGTGGGCGTTGGTCAGAGGTCAGGTACATGGAGTGATAATTGCTGTTATGTGCACGAAGCGAACGATTGTCACTTGGGTGTGGGGGCGAAATGCGATCACCACCTGGCGTCGAGGTTGGCCTCGGAAGTGCAAGGGCTTGTGTCAGCATCTTCTAACAACACAGTACTGGATTAGCTAGCCGTATAGCCACTGTTTCGGCTGTTGCAAGCACTGTTGGCGTAGGCCCTTGAAAATGTTAGCTGCTGTCCGGTAGACAACCTGACAGGTTTCATTAGTATTGACAAGATATGCGAGAATAGAATTCGAGATTGATCTAGTTTCACCTTTACTTAGCCAGGCCGGTATGTGTTCATGTACCTTCTTCTTCAGGCGCCTCTTTGTTCGGCCGATGTACCTTGCTCCACGGGAGCAAGTGAAAAAGTAAATGCACATGGATGTGGCCTTCAACGGGAGTCGGTCTTTACCTCAAAAATCGCAGGAGGGGAGAGTTCGTGAAGAACACGCGTAAGTTCGCCGCGGGGAAAGCGCTTGCGATCGTAGTCCTCAGGCGTCGTCTGACTAGCTCGCCTGTTGCATCGCCCAAGAAAGGCAGTCTTGCGAACACCTTTCCTGCGGTTAAGGTAGCAGGCCTTTTGGCGCGTTCGCCAATATTCCTGAGGGTGAACCTTTCCTGAACTATATATTGTTTTATATTTGGGTAAGCAAAGCTGTGAAAGTTGTGTTGTCCCGTCCAGATTTTCTTTCGGAATACCCTACGCAAGATAGGTCCATCATTTTGCCTTCGCAGAACAACATCAAAGAACGCAATTTCATCGTCTGCCTCAGCCTCGGCAGAAAATTCGAGCGATAGATGCTCGCTGATAAACTTCGCGACCAGGGCGTCAATGTCAGCGTTGTAGTCTGTCAAACAGAATGTATCATCCACCTATCGACCGTAGAATGCAAGGTCATTGATGGTGTCCCTTAGACTCGTTTTCTTGATCTTGCCCATAAAGGCATTTGCGAGAAACGGGCCAAGTGGTGGGCCCATCGCCACACTATATATCTGTCTGTAAAACCGACCATTGCAGATAAACTGTGCATTTTGTTTGCATCGCGTAAGTAGTTCTTTGAGGGTTTTCACGGGCATACTTATCTGGTAGTTCGTATCCCGAATAACGTCACAGAGGTAGTTTGTGGTTTCCACCACGGGTACGTTGGTAAAAAGTAATGATACATCCAATGAGAAAATCTTACTTCCACCAACGTTTATTCTTTATAGCTTCAGCAAACTCAAATGTGTCTTTCAAGCTTCGAGTATATAGGTCACTTCCAAGTGGCTTCAGCTTTTTTACTAGCCATTTGGCAATGAGGTAATAAGGGGAGTTTCTCATATCCAAGATAGGACGCAAGGGTAGCCCCTGTTTGTGAACTTTCAGAAGGCCATACATACTGGGTATCGTCGTGCCTACAGGTCTCAGTCTTTCAAGCTCTTTGTCAGACAAAGACCTTCTTTGTGGTAGTCTTTGAGAATTGTAGTTAACTGACCCTCGACGGCCTCTGTACGGTCTTTACCATTCTCGGATTTTGAGAACTTTGTACGATCTGCTAAGATAGCTTCTAGTTTCGCGACTTAATCATTCTTATACATCAGTACTATTCTGGACCCTTTGTCTGGTCTGGTCAGTACGACGTTTTCGTTTCGCGAGTTCGTTTTCCAATTGAGACAGTAAGTAAAGTGGACGCTTGATGGTTTTCCCGGTCTGCAAGTTGTATTCCATGCTGCCTCGTCGCGTAACACAAGTTAAACAGGAATGCGCTGCTTGCTATGACAGTTAAATTAGTTTACTTGGACAGTCAGCTGGGTTTTTGGTGGATCTATCCAAAACTTCGGGAATTGATTACAAAGTTAGCAAAAGAAAGACTTTCTAATCGGGTCGGCATTTGTCACAAAAGTTAAAATTAAGTTTTCTTTGGTTACGTCAGTGTGCAGTGTTACTGTAAGAGTGAATTCAGCGGGCAACATCAAGTAGATGAACTAATTTTACCACTCCCGTCTGTAGTTTAAAAACGGCTTTAGTGTGAATATCTAAACGCTATTCGTTCTATAAGCCATTTTATTGGCTGATATTCGCTTTGAGCTGTTTGTCTATGCTGGAATATTTTCGAGGTACGCAGTTATTAAGTCATTTTCAGTCGGAGACTAAATTAGTTGTGTAGTGGCATCTTTAGAATCCACGACTTCAGATGACGGATGCAATCAAGTCTGTATTCAGCTAAGGATTGGCCTTATGGCTGTTCCCAGTGGAAACAGCCAATATTTCACAAATATCAGGAGACTCTTGAAGAAAGTAAGCTACATTTCGAAATGCGATAGCTCGCTGCGTTTAGCTGTTACGACGAAACGTTTTGGCACTTGATTACGTTACGGACCGCTAGAAAGTCATTGTCGGTTACTTTTGACGTCTCCTGCGGCGATTGTTCCTCTTGAGGAAACACATGAAAGCCCACATCGTACCCTTTGCAATTAATTGTCGTCA